GGGCACAAATGCTTGGAGGCAAAACGTTGGCACCGTCCCGGGGAGGAGAAGGGGCAGGGACGGGTTCCGCTCCCCCCAGTGCTTTCCCTGCGCCCCCCGAAGCAGCTGCTCCCCAGAAGGGTGTTGGGGGCGCAGGGAAGTCGATTAAATAGGATCCCCCAGTTGCGTGTCATGGGCAGGCCGAATTCCAGTCTGGGAGTGCAGGGTCGTGGTGTGTTTCTTCACTAAAAAAGAACACCCCCCCTGCGAACTGGAGCTGCGAAAACAGAAGTGCGGGTCCTGCGTATGAAGCACGACAGGCAGGCGGAGGGACGCAGGCGGGGGCCAGCTTCCTCACTGAGAAACCCTCCAGGTTCGCCCCACGGGCTGCGGCACGCAAGGGGAACTGAGATCCCCGGGCCGCCGACATCCTCCTACCAGGCGAAGACAAAATGGAGACGAGTGGTCAAGCAAACCGGTAAACTAGGAAAGATGGGCAGATATTTCATTGCAAAGAGATTACGTAAACACGCAACTGTGCAACAACATGCCCTGTGATCTTTGGCACTGCTTTCCCCGCAGGTCATGCAGGAGAGATGCTAGATGACTCCACGGCCTGTCCTCCACGGCCGTGAGACCCTTCTGCTGCCCTGACGCCTGCTGGCAACGCTGCCGCCAGCGCCCTGCGGCCGGTAGGTGTTCCTGCTATGGGTGCTGCACCCAGGCGATGCTAAAGCACCCAGGCCGAGGTTCATCGAGTGCTCGGTTTTGAGGGGTGGGCAGGCAGAAGGCAGCGTGAACCCCAGTTTATGGCCTTCCTGCTTCTCCCCGCTCTGGGGCAGGACAAGTTGTTTCTCCCACGCAGCCGCGCACTGGCTTCACCTCCGGTATTACCTCCGGCAGGCCCCATGCTCGCTCCCCTCTTAGCCCCTCAAAAAGTGAGGAGCTTAAAAGAGACTTTTTAAAATTCATTATTAGAAACAATGCAAAGCAAAGTGTTTTCGGGTACAGGCAGTTCAGCCGGGGAATGGGAGTTATTTACGGTGGGGCCCTGCCGCTGCACGTCACGCGTGGACAGGCTGTCCTGGCGGCGCGGCGTGTCGGATGAGGCCCC